GTAAATAAATGGTATTTGAATTCAACCAGTATATTTGTATAAGACAATTTTACTAAAACAGTTAATTACCACCTTCCAGTCCTATGATTTGGGTTTTACTTAAACAGTATTCCTTATAGTTACCCTAATGTTCTTTGGAACAAATTTAATCAAAAGATAAAAGAAGATGAAAGTACCATTCTTGCCCTGATAAGATGCAGGCAACCAATCCGTTTGATCAGTTTTAGACGAATAACCCCAATGCCATCGTTCTCTCCTTTTCTTCATTTTACTCAAATCAAACATTTGCTGTTTTTTTCAATGTGAAGTCAGCGATATTTGTAGGATAAATAACATTTTTCATTTGGTTTAAGTGGTCATATGACCATTTCCAAATTAATGACAATACAAACGGTTCTTGTTGCAAAGTATAAGAGGTGTTTTAGTAAATGAAGTTTTATTTATTTGGGGGAGAATTATTGGGCCGTTTAATTAGACTTATCCTTTCAGTACCCATTTATATTTGCCAAGTGGATTGACATTGACTGCCAATTTGATCAATCCGAGGCCGCAACCCATCTTATATTTGCCCCCACTTCTGTTTCCACGTTTAATATCCCCAGGATATTTGCCAAGTGGATTGACCGTCTATTTGATCAATCTGAGGGTTGAATATTCCCAGGATATTTTCAGTTCTTCTCTAAAGTCTAAATGTCAATGGACTAACAAAAACCACTCTATCTCTCATTAATTCACGCTAAATTAATTCCTATATGTTTTAATTTCTGTAATTAACAAATTCACGTTAAATTAACTCCTATATCCTGCTATCAAAGTAAAATTTGCAATGATGACAATCATATTCAAATGATCCATATAAATAATAATCCCAGTCAATATCAAATAAAATGGATAAATTAATGTTTGAAATTTTGAAATTAGGTTATTTGGTAAATTTCCATACAGAAGGTAATGGTGGTTGTGGTTTGACCGATTTGCTCACCTATATCTTTGACCTTTAATTACATCATTAATGAGTTCTGTCGTTGAAACTAGAGTTTGAAGGAAGCTTTATGATCTATCTATCTATCTTCAAAGCATCAGCTGGCTATCACGTAGAAAAGATCAGAAAGTTTCATTTGAACCTTTTCAAAATTTGACGTTTTTGATCTTTTTGAATCTTTCCATGCATGCAACTTTTTGTTACCAAATGGAAAAAGACCAATTTTTAGCCTTTCAAACTTGCCAAAGCCCAAAAGACCATACAACAAGACTTGCCAAATGCCACCTTAATATAGTACATGTTTGGCATTGATGCTGCAGATACAGCACCGTTCGGTGCTGCTGATGTGTGGGTTGGAAGTACCGTTTTCTCAGAAAATGGTGTTTTTTTTTTTGTTTGGAAATGGAAATGTTGCTGCCAGGTAGGATGTTTCCTGGAGCAACAACAATGTTTTCTGTTTGGTACCAATGCTCCAGGAAACTTTTTAGCACTGATACCTATTATCTAGTGCCACGTCATGTCCCTATCATTGCTACCTCATGTCCTTATCGGCAACAATGATCTGCAGCTTTAGAAAATGCCAAATTCCGTGTTGCTCCAAGCCATGCCTTCCCGATTTTCAAGGCATGGCCTGAAGCACTGCTTTTTTTGGAAAAATGGTTCTAAACAAACAGGCGTTTCCTAGAGCAAGATTTTTTCCAACTTGACACTAATGTATTGCCATTTTCTAGAGCAATGACATTGATGCCAAATAGACGTTTAGTTGGCTTGGCCAATGGCCATTATAAAAGAAAAGGAACAAGAACAAGAAAATAAAGGAGGGCGACTGACTTTTCATGGTAAATTCTTCCTTTGTGTTTTGCTTGGAGGTTATCAAGTTTGGTGATTGATCTCGACATTTATTTATGGCCGGGTTTAATGTGAGGACTGTGGAGAGCACGCGATGCATATTATAGTAGCCAATGCTCTTAATGCTAATCAGACATCTAGGCCCCGTTCGTTTTTTAATAAGTTATTTACCAAGGTAAATGTAGTTACCTGGGTAAGTTTTTCCTGGGAAACACTTACCCAGGTAAGTGCATTTACCCATGTTCTTTTATATTTCATGTAAATAAGACAATGACTATTTTAGCCATAAAAATCCATTATTAAAAGGGGCATTTTTGTCCCATTCAAATGTTGACAATTTTCCCCGCTTTTAAAATCCAAAACAAGAACGCCCCCGTAGTCATAATATATAGAAGAGGCCTTTGCAAACTTGATGAAATCTTTTCCTCTTTAACATGGGGCCAATGCTCTTAATGCTGTGGATGGAGCATGCCAATGGCGTATCCGTTTGATTAATGGTGGCAAACAATGTAATTATCTTCTCATGAGGTGGCATGGCGACATTCATTTGTCTATTCAATTTGGTATACTGCATTTGGCATTCGTTGTTTTAATTAAGGATTTATCTCATTTTTATTTATCTATTCAATTTGTATACTGCATTTGGCATTCCTTGTATTAAGGACTTGTTTTCTTTTTACAGTTAAAAACTCAGTATTAGGAACATTTTAATTAGAAAGAAGAGATAAGTCCTTAAAATAAGGAATGCCAAATGCAGCTTTAGTTTTATTCTTCAGATTTCCTTTTACCGGTGCTTGCTTGTCTATGACAAATGTAATTTCTCCTCCTCTTGTTCATATTGAATAAATTTTCTTGATATTGGACCCTCCAAAAAAAGGGAGCGAAATTCTTTTTATAGAATCCTAAACGTTAATTACTTTTGTTGAGAGTCGACCACTGTAAAATTTTGTTAGAATCCAATCAGACGAGGCCTATAATGGAATCGAGGGGAGGGGGGGGGGACGTAAAAACCTTACCCTTGTACAAAAATTTTACAAAAAGATTATCCATTAATTTAGAAGATAGGAAAGCAGATGATCTTTAACAAAGACTCAACGGTAAAAGGGATCTATATCAGATTTTTCCTTGTGAGTAGATCTGGTATTTAGATGTTTTAAATTCACGGCAAAACATTAATGCAGCAAGAGGGACATCTAATCTGATGGATGACCCGGGACATCAAAATAAAACTGGGTTAAGAGATGAATTTTACATTGAATCCTTGTATACAGTTCAGTTTCTTAATTAACTAATTTATTTTATTTAGGCTATAAATCTTTAAAATTTGTGTACTTCGTTCATTTAAGTAAAAAAGTCTGCRTTTTGGGCCAATGTCATSCTAGATAGATTCCAGTGATAAAGTAAAACCACGAAATGAAAGCGTTTGATGATGGGTGTGGTGGGGGCACAGCAATACATTGAAATTGGCCATCATCAATTCATCATGATTCACGGCTTTATTCCTGCTTTAAAACCGTGTCGTAGCGAAAGCGTACAACAATCTCATTTGTGGCGTTTTGGTATTTGGATTCCAAGTTGCCACGAATGATCGTGTGATGGGTCCCATCCATCCCACAGAAAAATTTCCAGGTTCAAGCGACCGAGCCAGATTGTTTGTTCACACACAGACACAGACACACGCCAACCTGGCTGCGGCCGGCCAGCAGCCCCCCGTGTCCGCGTCACTCTGCTCTCTCTATCTCTCTCTCTAAACGCGTCATTCAGATTCAGATAATCAGATTTAGTGCACTCATTAATCAATCAGCTAATCCAAATTCTATAATTCCTACTACTAGGCCGAGGCCGTTGACGTCGTCCTTTTAATCTTTCCACGAAATGACAGTTCTACCTCTTGACTTCCGTAAAGGAGTGCAGCAGCTGATCACAGATGGGTCCCACCCCACCAACCCTTTGTTTGACCTACGGTACCCCCCCCCCTCGATTTCAGGATCTTGCGGCTCGGAACGGTTTAGAAACTTCTGTGAGTTCACATGCATGCAAATGAAGAAGGTTTCATTTCATCTCTGAAATCTGATGATGACCAATGTTCATGTTTTTAGGATTAGGATTCCCAGTTCCCACCCCACATGTATACAACGGCCCCACCTGGACCTGACATGAGGTTTTATGTGAGAAGTCAACAAAATTGATCAGATAATCACAACCATTCAGTCTTTTCTTTTGGGTGTTTACTACGAGAGAGAGAGATCTTCGGGTTGAATGGTTGCGATTGGGTTTGATGTTGAGGCTGCAGGGGGAGGTGGGTTGCTGCTAATCACAGACACAGTCATTGATAAGCTATTTAATTTGATTTTACTGATCGAACAGAGGCGAGGGCCGGGGTTGGCTTATTAATTTATTCATTCATTCATTTTGTTATGGGTAGTTTCTATAAAATGGGCCAAAAGACAGGGTCAAGTTCTAGAAGCTCTTCTTCTCTTAAGTCTAAACCTCTTCTCCAAGCAAAAACCATGTACTTAGCAGCAGTTTCAGAAGAGACTACTACTACTACGACTACCAAGTCTCCCTCCGTCCACAAAATGACAACACCAAATTTACCCAACTGGATTGCATTTGCCACCCACGAAACGCGTCCAAGTAGCTGGAAAATTGCTTTCTCGATCATGATTTTCTTTTCTAACTTGGTAAACCATAATTAATTAGTATTAATTAACATTATCAAATTGCTTTCAAATCGATGACTACCTCCATGAACGTGGTCCTCCTCTGTACTTCTACTTTTTCTATTTAAAAAAAAAGGAAACAAAAAAAAAACTAGTGTAATCCCAACCCAATGGGTCAGAGAGACCTTAATTAATTTTATTTCTCTTATAATTAACGCCAAAGACCTTTAATTTTACTCCATGGAATTGGAAGAAGACATATAAACAGGAAAACCGGGGTGACGAAATTCCACTTCAGCTACTAGATTGTCAAAAGAAAATGCTGACAAATTGTAAAATATTTATCTTATAATATGCTGATTGATACATTCAAAAACATTGGCCTCCAGTTTCGTAGCCGCTTTTAGGTACAAAGTCAGGGGGGTAAGAAGGTAATTTCACTCGTACGACCTTTATATATATATATATATATATATATATATATATAAAGAGCAATATCTAAAAAAGCAAGAAGAATTCCCTGTTGTGGAAGTGGGACAAAGCAATTTTAGCGAAGAAGATATCAAAGAGCTAGAGACTGCATAATTAAAAGGGGAGCAGAGACACGAACTTTTCTTCCTATACTGAGAGTGGTTGGCGATTGAGTCTCAACCTTCTCTCTAAGTCTTCAAAACCAAAACCCATTTCTACCACCCTTATCACCTCTCTCATCGTCTGTTCGACGACCAACTCTGCATCGATTAATTTGGGCTCCAGAACCAACTCAGGAGATGATTAAGAAGTTCACGTGGAAATCCCTGGTTCCCTGTTGTTTTCAGGCTGAGATCCCACTGGAAGAACCCACCAAGAAAATAGTCAAGAAGCAGAGTTCTTTTCAGAGGATATCTGTGTCGGATATAAGCCTCTCAGGCCCATCGCTCTCGGCCGATGACATCTCGAGTTCTCTCATAGGGTCCAATCTGCACGTCTTTACGCTGGCAGAGCTGAAGGTGATCACGCAGAGTTTCTCGACAAGTAATTTTCTCGGCGAAGGGGGATTCGGGCCGGTTCACAAAGGGTTCATTGATGACAAGCTCAAACCTGGATTGAAGGCTCAGCCCGTGGCTGTAAAGCTGATGAACTTGGAAGGCACGCAAGGCCACAGGGAATGGCTGGTAAGAATCCATTTTATATCACTCCCTTGTTGTCTTCTTCAAATCTATCTGTTTGACGAATGGCGTTAGATAGAACGGATAGGCTCGAATAAGATTGATTCAGCTGAACCTGAAATAGTTATGATCTATTAAATGATTGTTTGTTTGTTGTTTGTTTTTTGTTTTTTTTCAAATCTTAATCTTAATTTTGCATGTTCTGATATGATTTGCTTCATCTCATTTGAATGTTGTTATAGACGGAAGTGATATTTCTTGGGCAACTGAGGCATCCGCATCTGGTGAAGCTGATAGGGTACTGTTGCGAGGACGAGCACCGGCTTCTCGTGTATGAGTACATGGTACGAGGAAGCTTGGAGAATCAACTCTTTAGAAGTAAGTCTGCTCTTCCGTCTGCTTCATTAATTATGGTTCCCTAATTTTTTTGGTATCATGTCTATCAGCTATTCGAACTTTTGAACCTATATGGATTGAATGGGATGTCTGGCTGCAAAAGTCTTATGAAAAAGGGGAAAACATAAAATAAAATGAAAATGCGCGGGTTTTATCTGGTTACTTGCTATAGGAGGGCTTTACTAGTTTGAAACAATGAATCTTATTCTTATAAATTAAAGGAAGTTAGGTTAGGTGAAACAAAAAGATCAAGTTTGGGACTAATTTTAGAAAAATATGAAAGTAGGAAAAGATGGCAACTAGGATGGATGGAGTTGTAGCATTTTATTTTATTCCTTATGTGAGAAAGGCGTCCATCACCAAAGTCCACTGAAGAACTTGTCCAATAAGAAAGCTCTCTTCCCAGGCTTCTAGATGGTGAGGTAAAGTTACGTTTTTTTTTTTAAGATTTTTAAAATCGAACCAGACAATAAATAGGTGAGGGTCTGGTTCGCAGGTCAAACGGTCTAATTATTTGAACCAAACAAATGGCCTGTTCTGACAAAAAAAATAAAAAACAGTTAAAATCACTAAATGGTTCAAACGGTTCAACTACTTGAATCAGCCATTTACTGACCAAATCAATGATTTTTTAGTAAAATAATAATTTTAAGATAAAAAAGAATTGATCACCTAACTGATTTCCGATTTTTTCAGTCGGACCGTCCGATCCAATACAGTTTTGAAAACCATGCGTTTTTCCCACCAAGAAACAAGAAAGTAGTCATGGAAAAAACTAGAAAAAAGAAATTTCACCAATGATTCCATACATGCGAATTGATAGATGTGGGGCCGACGCCGAGCAATATCACTATCTCAGAAGAAGGCACTAATGGGTAATGATAAAAAGTCAAAAGGTTTATGGGGCATATATATATATATATATATATATATATATATTAATTTATGGAAAAAGAAATTGACAAATGATTAAGGGTGCGCCTTTTCATAAAAAATTGGATGTACCCAATCAATGTTAATTCTAAATACCATTGCAGACTTATTAACTCTCCCTAGCTATATTCTATTCTTTACACAGTATAATAATTTAAAATCTCTTTAATTTGAGAAATGCAGGATATTCTGCATCGTTGCCATGGCTAACAAGAATGAAAATTGCACTTGGAGCTGCCAAAGGACTTGCGTTCCTCCATGAAGCAGAGAAGCCCGTCATATACCGAGATTTTAAAGCCTCAAACATATTGCTAGACTCCGTAAGTTTCAATTAGTTAAACAATATACCGAGGGTTTAATGTATATATATATATGTTGAGTGCTAGCTCTGACCAATATTGTAATTAATTTTAGCAAATTTATTACTTAGATTGCATGCCTTTGATTTTGTATCATGTATCCAGGATTACACCGCTAAACTCTCAGATTTCGGGCTAGCAAAGGATGGGCCTGAAGGAGACGAGACACATGTTTCAACGCGTGTCATGGGCACCCACGGATACGCAGCTCCAGAGTATGTCATGACTGGTAAGTAAATTAAAGTAATGTATCCTTTTCCTTATTACTCATGCATCGATCACTTTGTGTTACGTTTCTGGTTAATCCAAATAGATTCATTTGCTTCATCATCGATCTCATCTCATCTAGTTTTGACAATTGATCAAGGAATTAATATTTGTATGTTGCGCTAGCTAGCTGGGTTCTCCTTCCATGCATTCATTCCATTGACACACACGGTTTAATTTTCAGGTCATTTGACAGCCAAGAGTGATGTATACAGCTTCGGGGTAGTCCTATTAGAGCTGCTAACGGGGAGACGTTCAGTGGACAAGAACCGTGGCCCTAGAGAACAGAGCCTCGTAGACTGGGGAAGGCCTCTTCTGAACGATGTCCGTAAACTTGACCGGATTATGGACCCCAGACTTGAGGGCCAGTACTCCGTCAAGGGGGCTATGAAGGCGGGTGCATTGGCGTTCAAATGCTTGAGCCGCAACCCCAAGTCTAGACCAACCATGAGTAGTGTGGTTGAGACTCTGGAACTAATCCAGAAGCTCGATGACATTCCAGTTGGAACCTTTGTGTATATAGCTCCAACCGAAGACCGTAAGGTAGCTGATATTGATAACAAGCAAGGTGCTCAAGGACAAAATGAGGACAAGAAGAAGGCAAATGGTAATAATTTCCATCATCACCATGGCCCAAGTGGGCCAAGAAAGTATAAAAAGGGAGATGAAGCACATCAGAAGGACGAAAAAGAGGACAAGAAGAAAGAGAATGGCCACCACAGATACCACCACCAACATGGGCATAGACAAAGGATTAGGACACCAAGATCTCAGGCAGTAGTCCATTCTGATACTAACTGTGGCAACGGCTTCAACTCTCCAAAGCAGCATGAAAATCGGGGGAGATAATAGCTAGGTCTGGAGACGGCTTCAACACTTCAAAGCATCACCAAAATTAAGTAGACAGGGTTGGTTTGTGGAGTAGTTGTAAATTAAATCACACTTAATTAATTTGTACAGGTCTACATTGTCTTCTTAATTTCTTCTTTTCCTTTTCGGATCCATACAGGAAAATATCTCTTTTGAGAATATATTTTGTCTCTCATTTTTTCTTTTGATGAATACGATCGAGTTGATTTTTTTTTTTTTCTTTTTCTTTGATGCCAAATAGGCAAAAATTATTCTATTGTCTCTAATATTCAAGAATTAATTCTATAAATCGATTCAAAAATTTCAACATGAATTCTTCCATATCTGAATAATCCCAGATGACAAGAGCATATATCCTTCATAAACCACAAGTCCAATGGACTTGCATTATTAATTAATTAGTGAATGACTGGCTACTCATCCATGGAAACAGTCCTATAATTAAGATGGGGTTAGTACTGTTGATTTCCCAATAGCCCATCCAACAGCTAGCGATCGATGAGGTAATCATGTATCAAATGATGCCATTGAATTAATTTCAGCAGTGGGCCGGGCTGCTACGTACCTCAGCTATATAATTCTAAATTGTGATATACTCTTTAATGATTAAGCTTGAGGTTAGGCAATTAATTTCAACTAATTATAATTAATCAAAGGCATGCAGAAATGAAAATATATATTGTTATATAAAATGTAGCTTAGCTAACTAGTTGAAGGAAAAGTAAGAATACATTACGAAGGACACCCACAGCTCACCAACCCTCTAGTTATATACTTTATCTTTAACTGCCTCAATTTTAATAAATGACTATACATAGTATTGTCTACACAGAGTTGATGGTCTGAAAAGTAATTAAGCACATCCCTCTTAATTTGATACAGTGGGCGCTCTAATTAATAGTTTATGGGCACATCCTATATATGTTGAACAATATGAATTACAAATTGAGAGGATATCTCAATAGTTTAATCTTTCAAGTGTTAAATAGAGTAGAAGCAACAGCAACGCATATAATTTTTTTTATTAATTTAATTGACGGATGCTTGAAGGCATGAGGATATATATATATAAAAGTAGATAGATAGATAGATAGATAGATAGAAATAGGGGTGTCAATGGTATTTGAAAATCTAATTTCGAATTCGAGATTCGGCATAATTGAATCGAATTCGGATAATTCGAATAGCCAATTGGTCGAATTCGGATATCTTATTCATACCGAAGAGTTAATCGGATTCGAATTCGGATATGACCTGATTCGATTCGATAAATATCCGAATTCGACCGATTATTTAATTCTTATATATAATACATAAAATCTGTAAATGTTTTATATAATTTATATATATATTAATTAAATTATATAAATAATTTATATATTTATATACTTTATATAAATAAATATTTATTTTATATATTTATTAATTACCTAAAATAATTAATTAGTCAAATTTGAATTGAATCGAATATTCAAATATTTTATCGGATTCAAATTCGAATATTAATTTTCAATATCCGTCAAATATCGAATTTTTTAATCGGATTCGAATTCGGATATTGACTGATCCGATTTGAATTCGACTCGTTTACACTCCTAGATAGAAAGGTAAAATTTGGATTGAGTAGATCATATAAAGAATGATATTAAATAGGAGGTATAGAGAGGTGAAAACACATTTGTTTAGGAAAAGACTAATCGATTTTCATGTAAAGTTGTATAGGAAAAGGAAGAAGAAATTAGAGTGTGGTATGTGACCAAATTAAATCCAAATAGAGAATTCATTTGAACTGTAAGACCAAATAGAGTAGAAGAAATCACTTATTAGGTGGATAACAGGTGATGGGTAGTGCATGCATGCAAACCAGATATATATATATATATACCACCAAACTCTTGAGTGCCTTCATCATCAGCATATCCGATAATATTTTCACACCTAAATTGGATCAAAGTGTATGGCCTGAAACGTATTGATTTTTTGGATGAGACAACATTGATCATTGCTGATGCAGATTCATTCAAATTACCTTCTTTTGGTCTCAAAATTTGTGGAAAGCTATATCAAAAAACTTGGCCACTCTTAAATCCTCCAATTTAGATTTGTAAAGTATAAGGTCTCTAGAAGGGGAAAGGCGATTTAAAACAAGAATTAGTGTCTTAGATGAGTTTCTACCATTTGTTATATATAGAAATATACTTTAATTATATAACGTGATGCTTTCATTATACAAATATACATCCAATGCTTGAGATTAAACAATGATATAATTTGATGCTTTCGTTATAGAAAAAATACTTTCCAATTAAAGTGATTAACTTAGTAATATCATTTGATCTAAGTAAACCTCTGCAGCTAAATTGTTCTTATCAACCCAAATGTAACCATAAATTGGATGATAAAGATAAACAATCGTATCATCTTATGAGTTTTTCTTTGCAGAAAATACATTTTCTGGGATTTATTGATTGAATGAGAACCCCTTGAGTTCAAAATATTAGAAATGCAATTTTAAGAAACATATTAAGATATATGTTTTGAATGTATCTGAATATATGGCAGAAAATTAAGATATACATAAATATATTAAAAAAATAAATCTCAAAAATATATCCATAACACCAAATCTAAGTGTCAAATGACTAAAAATAAGGAATATGCAAATATGTAACACATGATTTGATAATTTATGCAAAGTGTGGATCATCGGAAAATGGCAAAAATAAAAAGCTAATTAGTATATTTCTATTTTTATGCTTAAATATATATATGTATATACACTTTAGGTTTCCATGAGAGAGAGTGCATTCCTCGATCATTCACTTTGTCTGACAAAGGGGCTAATCCTTTCACTTTGATCACCCACTCAAGTAAATTCTCGGATTGTCCCAACATACCCAGTTTTGACCCCCTCTAAGGATCTCACTGATTGGCATAACAAAGGTAGTCCAATCCGACACCTAGTGTAGTATCATAATCGAGTCTAGGGGTCAGGTGTAACATTCCAGCTTTTCCCATTTATCTCCAAGGTCTAGGGCAATACTGAAATTTGGTCCTATTCAGGGATTCAAGAAAACTTATACTGCATGTACCTCAGGTCTCACCTTGGCAGCTGAAACAAGCCACCCCAACCAATTTGGCGGCATATTAGTGTCAGCCTTGATAGGATAAATATCCCTAGATCTATCCAACAACTGTGAATATTCTAAACTAATACGAGTCTCATAAGTGTCCAGTTTAAGGGTATTACATAGAAACACACCAAATCACATGAATCAACTATGCACTTTATTCATTTACAATAAATGACATAATGTACATCAATCTGATTGGAGTTAAGGACATACACTGTCTAACAGGTGGGACCCACCCATATGTTGTAGTCTTTGCCTAATACATAACTTTAGAAAGTTAGAAAGAAAGACAAAATAAAGTTGAGACTCTTGATGTTTTCTCATTTTCTGAGAATGAGACAAATTGTCTTGTCTTGATTCATGTTATTGGATGGTGGGACCTACTCTCCACTATCCTTTGGCTTTCTCTACAAGCCTCATTTTCTCTCTTGATACTCATGCTAGTATCCTTTTTGAAAAGAAAAAAAGAAAAAGAGGAATGAGAAATGGAAATTCCTCTTTTACAAGAGAAGAAGACAAGAGCACATTCAATCAACCGTTGTAGCTATTGTTTTACTCTTAATCCATCAAGATTTTTGTAGGGTTTCTTGGCTCTTCAACAGTGGTTTTGGATAGGAATTGTGCAGCTTTGTTTGGTGAGATCTTTCTCATGTTTTGTTGATTGAAATTTATCTTGTTTGATGACTGTTTTTGTGTATCTAAGAGAGGTTCTTGTCTCTTGAAGTTGTTATTCTTTAGTTTGAACTAAAAAAGTCGTAATTCCCATTATTCTTGTTGATAGTGGAAGATTTCTAGGTTAGTGCCCTGTGGTTTTTCTCTTCACATTGGAAATGTTTTTCACGTTAAAAAAATTATTGTATGTTATTTTGCTTGTGGTGTTTGATTATTTTTCTCATTGGGCACTACTTGATATTTCTTCTTTTCCATTTAGGTTGCTGATTTACACGCTATTAACAAGGGACTTTAATTCCAACAATTAATTAATTTATACATTAAAAAACCCTCAAAGAAAGGAGTTCTCTTCAAAGACATGGTTAGCCTCCTATTGAGTATTGACGAGGGGTTCAATGGAAATATAAAAAAAAAAGAAAAGGAAGAAAAATCCATCATTTGGGCTGTTCACGGGTTGGGTTGGGTCGGTTTACTGATGTTTTTCCAATTGACCCGACTTAGTCGGGTTACTTGAAATTGAAACCGAAATTGACCCTGTGTTAAGCAAAACCGACCTGATCGATTTAAGTCGGTTTGGGTCGGTTTCGGCTCTACTTAGTGGTGACTTAGTTGTTGTTCAAGTGTTCATTTCTGGCTCTACATTCCCAAAGGAAACCAACATTTCCTTGATGTTTTGTGGCCCATCCGTGGATCCAGTTGTGGAGGGAGCAGAGTTTGAGATTCAACTTAGTTAAGTAGGTTGTTACTAGGATAGAGACAATTTAGTTAAGTAGGAACTAAGTAGATTGTAACTACTAACTAGGAACTAACTACTAAGTCAGTTTGGTTCGGGTCGGTTTCGCTTTTCACACATGAAAACTGAAACCGAACTGAATCATCAGTTTATGATTTTTTATAACCCAAAACCGACCGGTGCTGAAGAAAACCCGACCGACTCAGGTTGGATTGGTCTGGATTGGTTGGTTTGGTCAGGTTGGGTCTTCTTATGAACAGCCCTATCCATCATAAAACCTCTCCTTTGGTATTATATTTTACGCATTAGATGTATGTATGTACTTATAGCATACAAATAGACCCTTTTTCAATCATTCAATGATTAGGCTCGTGAGACTCACAATCCAATTCGGTTAACAAACAAGCTTATGTATTGGACTGGAAAAAAAATTGAGGGCCAGTAATAAATAAAATAACCATTTTTTCAATCATTCAATGAAGTGGAGGGAGGCAAGTTACTATCTTTGTGTGCTTTGAATGGCACACTTTCAAAACTTCCTATATATCTTGTTTGGTGGTTCCTTCTCACACAAATAGACCCTCCCTCAATGAAACGTTTAAGACCATTTACGCTGCATCATACATTTTATCATTAAGAATGCTATCGA